GATGTTTCGTTAGAAAGCTACGATTTAGTTCAAAACTAATATCAGATTCGGAATCAGCGTTAAAAACTGAGTCGATTTATATATGTTGTGAATAGTTCTGAGAAAAATTTGTTTTTTAAAAAAGAAATCCCTGTATCCCTTCCTCAGGGATGGTCTGATCAAAAATGACAATTTTTTCGATAACTCAACCATTTCTTGACGGATCCTTCTCATCTTCGAACTCGACCGAGATATTCATGAGATTGAACTGTGTGGAAAATTTCATCACGATCTGCCTCTCCTTTCGAAAGTTATCGTGCCTATGGCCGGACGGACGGGCACATTGACCGATTCTAGAGTGTACTCACTTTTTGAGTACACAAAAAGGAAGAATAATTATATAATATGAAACAGTTAAGAATTACACAGTGGAATTTCATTTGTTATTCATCAATATTGCTATTAATATACGAGTTTCTATTTCAAACCTTTTTGTCTTTTGATTCTCAATTACTGATATTAAACCGAATTTTCCTGAATTTCTTCAGAAAACATAGAATTTCTAGACAATACTTTGTAAGTTTAATACTGTCTTTATTGAAATTCTTTTCTTACAAAATTAAAGGCATTACAACGTGCAGAAAAATGTTAATACTAACAATAAGAAGATATGAGAATCTACAGAGTTGATTTCTTATATTTTGATGAGAATAAGCATTATTGATTGTTGAGAATTTTTCATTGTTGATTTAAAATTTTTCATAAAAACAAGCTCGAAATTCTCATGTGAAATACTTTGTGTTAAACTGACCTTAACCTCTAATATATATTTTCAACTTCACGCAACAATAATTAGAGATCGTCATTGTACGGTGAGTTAGTGTAAACTTAAAATGAAAAGTTGATACCGTTTTTCTTTCTGTCAAGTTTTTTTCCAATTAATTTTGTTAAAATGAATATCGACAATCTATGTTCAATTTAGCTCTTTTTTCTTGCGCATATCATAAAGAAAGAATCAGTTGGTGTCGTCCTTTTTTCTCTCTTTCTCGTCTAGTTGCGTTCAACCTTGTTATACCGATGCTACAAAAACAGTTACGTAAGATAAGTCACTTTTTATTATTATTAATATATCTACTGATATCAATTAACTTCTCTAGTATAGAGAGTTTTTCAAGAGTGATTGATATTAACTAAACCCCCTTAGAGAATAGAAGTTCATGGGTGGTGCCTCTGTTCCGCAAGCTATAATTTTGTAACAAAGCATGCTCTGATGCCAGTTTTTGACGTTATTTGATAGAGAAATGTTCATCCTTTCATTTTTCATCGACTTTAGTTCATTTTTCATGAAGTAAACCTTGATTTTCAACGGAGAAATCTAACCCAACGGGTGGGCTTCTATTCTGTATAGGGGCTTAACGACCTATTCTACGAACATCATAACAGTGATCTTGAATAGTATTATAAATGTTAATACAAAAGCATCAAATCCAATTGAGTAAAACAAGGGAATACTAATGTACAGACTAGTTTATGACTAAAATGTTTCTTTTTCTTATAAACTAAATATCAAACTAACTTCATCAGATAATTTACTGTTTAATTTTTTTTCAGTACCTAAAAAGAATAAGTCGCATCATTCTTTGACATTGCATTAAGGTTGAGATACTTCTACACAGTTGAGACATATTGAAAAAGAATCACTGTCACTGCTTGACAAGTATATTCTTAGTTAAGACGAAGATATATGAAGACCTGGAGGAGTACGATATTGAATAGTAGAAAAATGAGAAGTACTAGATTATGAACGTTCTTACGATTTATTCTGGTAAGATTTTTCTCTTTTTAAGTATTTAATTAAGAAAAAAAAGAAAATAAAAATTCAACGATGTTTCAGTTTACAAAAATATAGGAAATACATATAAGTAGAGTAACCCTCCGTGATTTGCGATCAAAACAAAACAAAAAACATCATCAACTTTTGCACTTTTTATCTCTGATTTGTCACGATGACAATATTTTTTGCAAGGACAAAAATGAGTTGAATAGGAGCTCACTGAATTTTTATATAAACATGATGTAAATTATTTTAATATATCTCAATCAAAATTGGCATATTTAGAATTGTTTTTCATCATTATATGTATACAGAGAGATTAGTTAAGTAGTGTATACAATATTTTATGAATAAAAAAAAAAGTCAAGGCCGGAACGCAAATATGCTACCAAATAACAGTTTCATTATGTAAATAGAATAAACGTATCCATATCTATCTCTGCTACAACATTAAATGCATCTTCATAGACATTGTCGTATATGTATTTATCGGAAAGGCGATATACATATGCATATATACAATATTGAGTTCCTCCATTATAATAGTTCAAAGAGACAACAAATATTGAACCTTGATGTCCATCACCTGAACTTAGATGATTAGCAATATTAAAATTTCATATAAATAAATTTTCTATAAATAATATTTGATCGTGGTATAAAACTTGTAGAACGATATGATTACCCTTCACCATACTTGTTCATATAATATGATTCAATCGCTTGGTATTGGTATGTTAACCTTGCAAGCTGTATACGATAGGCAGGTGATTGATGTTCATGGACGTCAATTGTTGAATACATATATTTATATATTGACTATCTGTCCAATATTCTCTCATTTGCTTGGAATTTTCTTCTATTATATGCATATCGATCCATGATCTTATTGAGAAAATTATGCTAGAAGGAAGTATGACAACAGCATATGTTTAACAACATAAAAGTCATTATGCATCAGCGCAACAAAAAAGGACGTGTTACTTTTGTCTATGATAGAATTCAATATCGACATGGTGGCATTTTCTTTGACATTATTGGGAGCTCATTCGTACGATCTTATCATATAACTTAATTTAAAGAGACATAAGCCATCATATAACAACAACAGGAAAAATCTTTTTCTCAGTTAACATATTAAAGGACGAACTATGAAACATCATTCAAGTAGTAACATCTTGAGTCTTCGATGGAGATGATAATCTCATTTCTTTCATCAATAGTCTATTTTAGTTCATTCCCGATCGATTTACAATCGATGAATCATTATATTTGATTAATATAGTAACATTATTGACTAATGTAAGTTAATATAAGGTACAGATTAGAATATCTACTCCACCTTATACTTGTCTAGTAGTTATGATATGCTGGTTGTCTGTATTTTATTCGGCAAGCTGAAAGCTGTCGCGTAATCGCAGCCGACAAGCGAAGGTTAAACAAAAGAGAAAAGAAGGAGAGTGAGCTTATTCTAAGGAGGACTGGCCGATATGTGCGGTGTCGGTGACCTTAGCCCATAATGTATGTATATGTCTCAATTAGCCAAGGTCTTAATTTGATTCTCTGATGGTAGTAGTGCCTATACGTTCTCCTGTTTGGCATTAAAAGCTTCACCATTTCTACTACTATAGCGTATATAATTTCCGTATTACTATATCTTCTGAAACTAAGACATGTTCATAATATCGATTTTCATGGTCATGACAGTCGTTCAAAAAGATATGCTAAATGCACAAATAAATCGTAATACTACATCCAGTAGTATATCGATTATCATTTTTGATGATAAGTGCATGCACATATGTTCGAAGCTGCTGTGTGTTTGTCATTGCTACACTAGATTGTATTTATCTATCTCTCATTTTACGTCCAGGGGTAATAGATAATTTTTGACGACGACAGGTAATCTAATGCTTTAGGTACGCGATCTGCATGCAACCGATGATATCGGTATATAGACGTTAATGATACAAATATTACTTTTATTTTTTCCTTCAATTATACTGTTGGAGGCTCATTAAAAGAAAATGAACAAGTATCCGATGGGTTAATGACCTTGTTTGTTTAACAATAAATTCAATGCAAGTACGAATCATAAACACAGAAATACATGCATGTAAGAAAAACGTTGTGCATGATTGACGTTAAAATGAGAAATAAAAGACGACGGTGACGGTGAGTGCTCGATTATATCTACCTCGAAAAAGAAGTTCAGTGACATGAATTAGTTAAATGTCAATGCGTAAGAAAAAAACAATGAAGAACTAATCAACTATGTAAATAATAATTATTTTGAAAACTATGTGTATTTCGCTGTTTTCTCTCTCTGCTTTATTATTTTCTCGACGTATATAACGATGGTGAAGTGTTGTCAATTAAAGAATCTATTTCTGTTAACAATATAAAACGTACGGAATAATGCATGTTGAAGTCTATAAAAAAATACTTCCGCCACACAAGGAAAAGAAAAGTCTCTTTTAAAGCATATCGTATTCTTCATAATAATTCTACTAATAAAAGTTCTAGTCAGAATAAAAAGCCTAGTACAACGAGTAGAAGATAGACATCTGAGAGAATCTTTTTGATTCGTATATAGTTGATTAAACAACAATTTAAGCATAGATCCTTTTGTTTTTCTTCATATTAGAATAGACCGAAGAAAAAGAATCTAGAATTATATCCGACACGGATTGATCTTCAAGTGCAACAACGTAAGCAGATAGATGATACATAAATGCTTTCTTCTTGAATCATAAAATCAATGAGATTCTTGTGTACTCTTTTTTTTCCTCTAATTACAGACCGAACTAAAACCATGATATGCTTTTGTTTATGAGTCTAGCTGTTAGTATCCTGTTGTCTATTTTTCTGGGCAATTTATGCTACCGTTTATATGAATGCGTTGATTTTCCTTGTCGTTTTTTGCGTTCTGTTAAACTTATATTATCATTAGGAATACCCATTCGTAGTTCTTAATAATTATTTTATTCTTCGTACACATTATCCATCATCGCTCGATAAATTTACAACTGGTTTCTGATGATATACCTATTAATAGAATAGTAAGACAATCGCTCTTTTCTCATGTACTACTACTACTACTACTACTATGGAGTATTTAACAATACAGAACAAAAAATAGATTTTTAATTTCGAAACCGTAAAAATTCATGCTCTTTAGATTAGAATGCCAAAATTAAATACAACCACATACATTGATTCATCTGCAATATCAGTAGCTGTTATGGCTATGCAAAGTATTGATACAAATGGAAATTCAATAAAATATTTTCAACGATTACTTCAACGGTTTGGTGTTATCTATATGGCAGTTCTAATTATTTTTGGATTTATTGGAAATTCTATATCATGTTATGTTTTTGTTCGAAGTAAACTCAGGTATGAAAAAAAAAGTCAAAATACGGATAGTATCTAAAAGAAAAAAAATATATACTAAAATTATGTTTTTTTCCCTAGACGTTTAAGTTGTAGTTTATATTTAACTGCTCTTTCTATATCTGACAATGGTTATCTTATATGTTTGGGACTTATTTGGCTTGAAAATATACATGTTTTTATATTTCATAATAATGGTATTTGCCAAATAACTGTTTATTTAACGACAGTTTTTAGTTCATTATCAGTATGGTAAGTTGTTCTTTGCTCTGATCAATACGATTTTCGTGTAAACATCAATATTACAGATCTTTGATATCAAGTATTCTAATAGAAAAGGCACTGCCTTGCAAAAAGAAAAATAATTGAATCCTTGCTACATCAATACAAAGAAAATAATTAACGTATGCATTCAATTTTTTCCATTATACTAATGTCAAGATCAAATTTGGTTTTTGTCCTAAGAAGAAAAGTTAGAATTAATGCACAAGCAGACGGTTCAGGAACTGTTTTTTAGTAGAAATTCAATCTATTAAGTTCTGATCAATAGGTCATGAATTAATGATATGTTCTTGTTTTCTTTGGTTAAGTGTAACTTAAAAATCAATGAATTATAAACTTTCATTTTGAAATAATACTCCGATTTCTTTTTCTCAGATACATTTACATTATAATAATATTTCATCGATATTTGAAGTATATAGTTAAGGCCTTGTATCTAATTAAGTAGTCATAGTCTGCTCTTTTGATAAGTACTTTTAGAGTTCATTTTTCTATGTTCCTTTTACTTTAAAAATTTTTATCCTCGGAAGAAGTGTAACAGCAATGTATTTCATGATATTCTAATTTAATTCAGTTGATAAATATTAAATTATTTTTGATTTTCTTTGTCGTATCATTATATATTCTCTTGTAAGTTTGAAAGAATATAAAAATATTATCACAATATATATTTAGCATTAAATTAATTATGTATTAATTCATAGACTATTAATATCTCTTAAACTCAATGAACATTATTATTTCAGTAGGGCGAGAACGGTGAGAGATAAGAATTGAGATATTATAAGCACAATTAACTTAGATAAGTATTGAAGTTTAAAAATTAGCTCTATTTTAACACCAGAATAACTGCGATGGGCTTCTGTGGTATTTATTCATTAAAGAATATACATAAATAATTCTATTTCAATGGTTAGCAGACTTATGAAGATAATATTATTATTACATGTCTTTTTTTCTTTGTAAAGGTAAGCTGTGATTTGAGCTGAGTGTTGTATAGAAGTAGCAAGAGAACATATATAATATGATATTGTTTTCTTTATTAGTCAGAAGAATTGACGATTTTTATTAAGTTTTTATTTATCTTAGATAATATGAATCATGTTTGAAATGATCGTTTTATTGAGTCGAAGCTATTTCGTTATTACAAATAAAAGAACGTGGAAGAAATAAATACCAAATTTTCATATTGATAAAGTTATATTTCAAATAATTCATTCGACAAAATCTTATCAATATATTTTATCTAAGAATTTATCAATTAAAATTAGTTTAGAGTTTTATATTTCTATATAGTATCATTTTCAAGTGTAAAGAAGTCCTTGAGAAACATATTTCTATCATCTCTCAAGTACTAATTTAAGACTATTTGACAAAAACAGATCTATGATTACCAAACAAAATGCCAAAGATACGATTGTATATTCATTTACGCGTTTCATAATTTGATTAGATAGGTTAATTCTCTCTCTCTCTCTCTCTCTCTATCCAAATATTCATTCAAATCAATAGTTATTTTTGTTTTTAGGTGTACTGTTGCATTTACAACCGAACGTTTTGTTGTTGTTGCATATCCATTAAAACGTTCACAATACAATTCATCAACACGCGCTCGTTATGCTGTTGTTATTCTGACATTTTTAGCTTTACTATTGTATTCCCCATCATTATGGACATCAGGTATTGAACTAGCTAAATCAGAAAGGCCAACATTACCTCCGTATGAAACACGTTGTGTCACGTTACGCCAATGGCTTAAATTTACACGTCAAATGAATATAATCGACTTTTTTTTAACATTTATCATTCCTTTTTTGACTATTGTGACATTGAATACATTAATTATACTTAAATCAGGTCAATATGATCGTTTATTAGAACGTAATTATATTCAACCATCAACATATATATTACATAATTTATTAGAACATCGTTTACGTCGTTCGAAATATCATCGACGCATAACTAAAATGTTATTAATTATTTCAACTACATTTTTATTATTGAATACACCGATGCATTTATTAAAAGTTTATTATTTTTTCTTTTCAACTGATGATACATACGATGAAAAATCTTCTTATGAATCGATTATTGAAATGTTAACCTTTTATTTATTCTATACAAATTTTTCGATAAACTTTTTCCTTTATTCATTATGTGGAAAAAATTTTCGTTTATGCCTGATGGATCTAATTAACCGTGCTGGTCAATCAAGACGTAGAAACAACTTTTTAACGAACGGTCTAATCGTAGCTGGTCATGCTGGTCTTGGTGAAAGTCCAGTTGTTCAATATTTTCGACGAACACCACGTAATCATCTTGCTCGAAAATTTTCAAAACGTGAAAATAGTAGTACACTTAGTAGTGGTGGTTCTAAAGCAAATCCGATTTTATCAACATTTCATGCAGCTACAACTGCTGCTGCTGGAACAAATCAACATACAATGCATCAATCATCAGCTAGTTCTTCGTTTCAGAAAAATTCATTGAAAATTGAACTATTAACAAATCGACCAACACCCACAGTTGCTAAATTTTATCCGACATTTGCGATTAAGTGAAAAACAACTAAATTATAGATGATTTGTTTGCTTTCTTTTTTGTATATACCTCGAACGTGTAACGAATACAGAGGGGACACACTTTTTTTTATTGTACAGAACATCGTCAGAAGAAAAAAGATAAATATGGTTTACAAATTCTGATTGTTCTATTCAAAAAGTTAGATGTCTTGAATTGTTAACTTGATATTTGACAGCATACTTTTGAGCAACCAATAGATCGATGTCGAACCTTTGACTGATATCATTCTGTTAATTAATAAAATATCTTACGGGATGCTTTCTAAAAAAAAAAGAACTATTTCAGGTAGATCGTATAGGCTTCAAATTAATTATCTATAAAAATAAGTTCCGAATGTTTTCGTATCTAAAAATTAAATCATATAATTTATTAGACATTGCTTGCAAAAATGCTCATGAGAAAATTTTCCGGATAAGAACGTAGAAATCAGATCAACTATGTAGTTTATCATGGCAGTTCAAAGAACGCTGCATGGACACCATTGTAAGAAAATAAGTAACTGAGGCTTTATCTAACGTAAGAGTAATGCGGGTTCCAGTAGTGTGTAAAAATCGACTAAACGGTTTGATTGATTTTTACAGTTCATTAAAATCGTGCTTTGCTTTTTCGGAACGATGATATTGTTCACCGCGGCTTTGCTTGAAAGATTTATTATTGCCACTAAGATAATCATTCTGTATAAAGGAAAACTCGTTTATTTTAAGTTGAATGTGAATTTTTGAAATTCTAAATCATCTAGTGGTTTAGTTTGATGTAAAATTACATAAAAACTGTATACATTTTCAGTTTTTATGTGTATATATGAATATTACTCTATATAGATCTTGAATCCAATATGCTCAAAAAACATCAATCTACGTGAATCATTCCTTGAGATTGTTCTTCTCTATTGAACGAAGAAATATAATATTTTTATACTTTGTCCGATCTCAACCAGATCTTCCTCGTTTACAATGAACCGACCTGTTTAAGCCTTTACTACAGTATTTGAACTGCATGTTATGCAGTTAATTCGATATGTTTCCTAGTTCTGCTTCGTCGTAAACTCGTTTCACTCCGATGATCAAATTTTTCCTACCCGAAGCTCTGCTCTATAGATTAGATTCAGATGATATGACATGTAGTCATCCAAGAGGAAGTTGACACCAACGCTTCTTCTAAAAAAGATTGACATGAATTTTGGTATTCTTCATATCAGATGGTTGCATTTACAGTTAAATCACTGGAAAGAGTAGAGTGGCATGTAATATCGGATGTGTTTTCTCGGTCACTTTAGCAAAGAAAAAAGAAGTGAAAGATGCCTAACTAAACGTGTGCAGTGTTAATTTGAATACTGACAATATGAGTCACTTGATGAACGCACCAGTATCATAGCATTGAGACTTTTAGTATTATATGTGTTTCGATGTTTCACTAAATACTGGCAACAGTATATACAAACTAAACTGAAAATCTTCATTCATGTCATACAGCATAAAAATGAAAGTTTCTTGAATTTTATTTACAAGAATAAAATACAGGCAAAAAACTGCAATTAATCGAATGTTATTATTATTTCAGTTTCTGGTTTAATGAATAACGCTGCTTTTTCTTTGATTTATTTGCTTGCTCCTGCATAATTGATGCATGGTTCGCTTTAATTTTGCTAAGGTGCGTAAGAAATATTAGCAGAAACGAGCAGCAATGTAGCTGTGCTATTTACCATAACATAATCCCCAGTTATTATTTTATCATAAACAAGGGAACATATATCACTGTCATTGTAATACGTTAATGCTGTACAGCCACTTGTTAATAAACAGGAACAAACGCAACTATTTATAGTAGCATTGGGTGTTGTTCCACCATTGGTTTTGTAAGCAAAGCCTGGCAAAAAACGACGATTCGAATTTAATTACTTTAAAAAAATCGATATAGAGTTTTATTTTACCTTCATAGTATGAGTAGCTTCCACAAGAGGCACTGAGAACAACACAAAAAAGCAACAGACAAGTAGACGACATAATATCGTTCATTTTTTAAGTGAGATGTGCCCTTATTTCCTATTTCTTTTTGTTATATATATATATATATTGTTTTACTTAGCAGTAAAAATAAAGCAAGGTGACAAAAAAAAATTTCTTCTCAAATAAAAAATGAGCAAATAATATTTTTTTTTCGTAATAATTTTGAAAGCATCTTTTATTTTCTCTCGCACTTTACAAAAAATATAGTATTAATTCATTTTCTTTTAAATAAAGAGAAAAACTTAATTGTTATTCGAGTTATTTCCTAGCAAGAATAGAATTGGCACTGCGTAAATTGATGTCGATTAGAAACCATTTATTTAATATATAGCAATCAAACAATCGAGGAAAACCTAATGGTTCTTCAGAAAATAGTTATATCTCTTCTACTCCTTTGATATAATTTTCAATTATCACTGGCGCAGTTGCTTTCTTGTGGTTCAATAAATAATAGTAAATCGACTTGAAACATTTTTAATCACAATCTTAAATTCACATATAGAGTTAATTATTTACGATGCTTTTGATCGATCCGAAGAATTAAAGCATCATTTTTGTGCAACCTTATTATCTTTTGCGCTTAAAAGAAAAACTGGTGGTATGAAATCAGTATCACTTTTTTCTTTATTAATTTCAAATGATAAATCTCAAAGAGATTCAAAAAAAATTCTGACCATGAAATATATTCGAACCCAATGTTACTTCGTGTCCATGTGAGATATGGTTGTTTTCATTTTAAATGACTACATATGTTGAAGATACAAGTTTCATGAACAAATATTTTTTAATACCATATTGTATTTCATTTTTCTAAACTAGAAGGACAAGCCAGGGTGGCCGAGTGGTTAAGGCGTTGGACTTAAGATCCAATTCACAATAGTGAGCATGGGTTCGATCCCCATCCCTGGCAAATTTTTTTTCAGGCTATTCTTTGTTTTTATCCCTTTCTATTCTTTGACGAAAGAGTCGATGACGTCGCACAACAACACTGTAAAGAATTCCTTACAATCGAATGGAGATGATGGAAAATATCTTTACATCAAACATATTTTGAAGATTCTCAAGTGCAAAATGCATGAAAATATTGAAGATTTAATGTGTTTTTCTTTTGATGAAAATTTCTCTAGTGCTCAATATGATAACATTATAAAGCGTCCAAGTTCTTTGAAAATGTGTGTGAATGCAATCAGAAGAAATATATTGATAATCTATCACATTAACAAGACCCCTGATTATTAGATATGAACGTTTTTCAAGCTGTTTTATAGGATTATAGAAATTAATTTGCATAAACTAACAAAAAATAATCATAGTTAGTTATACTTCATCAAGTGAAAGACTTCGATACAAGTTTAAGGAAGCAAAAAAAAACAATAATTTCAAATTCTAGCTTGTTGATCACAGATAATAATTTTATACTTTATTTTCTTAATCAATTAATGAGACGTGATCAAGTTCCCAGGAGTCGGGAACTGTTCGGAAATTGGGCCCTCAAAAATAAATAAGCGATAACGAGCGACGTGAAACCACAACATCTGAAGCATCTCAGGGAAGTCAGGGAATTCAAGGACCTCAGAGAATCCAACGAACTCAGGGATTCCAAATAACTCTGGGAAAGCAACCGTTTCCTGACCGGTCGATAGGATCAATTTTGAGCTGAAAGCATGTGAAATGAAAACATTTTTCTCTAAAGAAAAGATTCACGTGCGAAAATGCATTGTGTTCTTTCACCGACGTTATCAATGAAATTCTGACTGCATGAAGCACGCTTTATCAGGTAAGTTATCGTGCAAGAATTTCGTATGCTTTGCACAAGTTAAGTGACGTGGTGTGGTCTAGAAGATTAAAATTTTCGCTACGGGATGTTCGTTCGTAACATTATCGCTTTCGCTACTTTGAAGGTTGAAATTCATGCTTTTATGGCAGTCGTCACAGCGAGAGCAATGTTGAGCGTTCATCTCTTTTTCTTGAGGGTGTGAATGTGGGTGAGCGATCGGTGTGAGTGTTGCTATTCTAACTGATTCATTCACACCCAACTTGGTGTGTTATAGAACAACCATATCTTTGACACAGTAATAATAACATCATTTCGCACATACTTGACAACTTTCCACTACAGGAGATTCCTCGCGCCTTTTCTCTGATTATCACCAACCGATTCAATAGGTTTCACAAGTTTCCACCAAATCCATTTTGCCTCAAGCACATAGGTACTAGATTTAAATACGGCAAATTGAACGTCACTGTCAATTTGTTCTATTATGAATCCCGCTGAGGCTGTCAATCCTGTCGCGACACCCACACTTATGATGTTGTACTTTGAGTCCCGCTGAGGCTGTCAGTCCTGTCGCGACACCGACTGTCATAGCTAGATTTGTGTGTTTCTCTGTAAATGTAAATATCATCAACAGTTGCAACACCATTAGAGGAATAGCTAAACAAACAGATATATATATTTAGATACTGTCCGCTATCAATTGCTGTCTGGATAAATAGATAACCTGATTTACCTGTTTATCTACCCATATAAGCACTCAGAAACGTTTTATAGATAGAATATTTTCGTCACTTGAAAAATGAATGGTGCCATCAATCATGCTTCTCCTATATCTCACTATCGCCGAAGCCAAACGATCCGAAGCTCCCAAATTCCACTTTTATTCAACCTATAAATTTATCAAAGCATAATAAACAATCACTCTAAAGTATTGCAACTCATTCTTAAGCGAACAGAAAATTTGCGCACTTCACCACCGTGACCTCATATATCTATTATGTCAATGGATATGCCCTCACTCAATTATGTCCATTATCGCGATTAAATATCATGCCAATTAAGTATATTATTCGATATACTGATGGTCCAACCAAAACGAATCGAGTCCAGGCTCTTATTTCCCTCATATTTATGACCTCCCTGACTTCTCAGAGTTCCTTGGAACCCCTCATAACGTTGCTATGCTTTGGTTTATCATCACTTATTCCTGTTCATTCATTTTTGAGTTCACAATTCCCAACAAATTCCCGACTCCTGAGAACTTGGACGCTGCTGTCAAAATTAGATAGGAAACAACCGGCGGAAGTAATGTCTATTTTTATTATTTAAATGACTGATAATGAGGATAATAGTCTGTTCCGGATTAAGAGTCTGAATTGAAGAATTAATAAAAATACTTTTAAATAAAACGACATTTTCTTCAAGCATTAAATCATATAGATAAGCTTTATTATTCATTTATATGCTTTATAATCGTTGACAAATCATTAACATTAACTTTTCTTTCATAGTATTTATATTAAAAATTTTAAAAGCAAATAATTCAAAATGAACCTTTGTTTCTATCTAAAACCTTCGTTAAGAATATATAAACAGTGAAAATAGAATTCTTTATGACTTTGAAATCGTTTTTTAGTCATTAATAATCATCATCAATACAGTTTGTTTGTGAATCATCGAATAGTTGATTGGTTCGAATCATAACTATTCTACGTTCATTCATCGATCGCGTCAAAAAATACTTCAAATTGACTGAAAGGAAAGAAAACAGAGGTCGATTCCCGGCAACGTTTGTAAACTCATAACATGGTATCGGCATGCGTCGTCTAATCTTCTATAACACCTTTGTTGTCAAGAGTATCCACTTGTCAAGTAGTCCGATCGTAAGCGATCGTATTTATTGCGGCTGCCATTTGATCACATGAGAAAAAAGTTTTCAACGCTACTGAATTAATTGCGTAATAAATGGATGCACAACGACGATATCAAAGCTCGGGACCCATACTACCTGACTTACCTCGAACGTGAGATATTAAATTTAGCTGAAATTAAAATTTTTTATCGACTTTACTTCGATATTATTGTAGACCTCAATCATTAAATCTTCCAACACCTACGTCATCTCAACTTATGCCTATTGATGCACGTTTTCCACCACCAATGTTACCTCCAATTAATGCACAATCATTACCGACTATACCGGTTTTCCCTTTACGAACTGGTAATCAACCGCAAATGTAATCATTTTCCATTCACAACAATATATTGTCTACTATGAATCTTCTCTCTTCTTTTTATTTAAACAAAAGGTTTGATGATTCAATAAATCAGTCTCTTTATAAAGTAAAACAATTAGAAAGTCGTTTACAAATGACAGAAATATCTAATCGTGCTCTACTCGAAGAAGTTATTCGTTTGCAAACGGAATTATTCAATGCTGTATATATCAATTTCTTTTAATTAAAAAAAAATCAAAGAAATATTCAATTTTAGATTCGTCAAAGTCAATCGATTCTTCAAGAAGAACGTTTATCTCGCCAACACATAGAAAATAATATTCGCATTCAAAATGATGTTATTCTACAATTAACAGCACGTATTAAACGAAATGAAGATGTATTCAATGATGAACATCAATCATCATTATCTGCTAATGCAAGTGTTCGAGGACTTGAACAACAAATAGCAGCTATACAAAAAGAATATGTTCTTCGACGTGATACTCAATCGACGAGGTTTGGAAACTGATGAATGATATGTTTGTTTTTAATTATTTTTGATTTCTTTGTAAAACTTAAGTGTTGATGGAATTCGAAAACAACTCGGAGAGACTAATATGCAACGAGAACAATTAGAAAAAACACAATTCAATATTGTTGAAGAGCTTCGATCTATTCGTAATCGTTTAGAAGCTGAATCATCTAATTTTAATTCATTGACTAATGAAGTTCGACAGAAAACGAGAAAATTAGAAGATGATCAACGATTAACGGTAAGATTATTTTAAGTAAATCAATAAGTTTCATATGACATCCTTTTTCTATGCAACGCTTCTTAATTACAATATATAATAGAGATTTAAAAAGAATCACTATTTAATAACAAGCAAATGAACGAACGCTGCTAGTAAACGGTGATATTGATCGATACTTCGTGATTTACGATTTCTTTATTCGAATGATATTTTATTTCTGTGTATTTATTCTACGAATAAAACATGTATCTGCTACTGAGAATTCCTTCGGCACGTGCCTGCTTCAACCTTAGATAATAGTTTCGCTCGCTAGCTTTATTTGATTACAATCCGGAATTTTTGTGGAACTCACATATATTTTCGAAGAAAATAGTGAGTGTAAGTTTAATTGTGAGATTTTTGCGGCTCCCCTGTACCCCACCCCCCCCNTTTGAACAAAATATGATCTTACTACACTGAAAAAATAAAAATTCTATTTGATCAGTATCTAACTGACCGAAATATGTGAGTTCCACATTTTAGCCCCAACGGGGCTACGCTGAAAAGCTTTTCTATATAATCGTATATTACCTTAGTTAGGTTGCTAAGTATTTTAAATAAACATAAAATAACTTGGATTGTTTTAAATGATTCCTGCCTGTCAAATACTCACTGAAACAATTTCTTCATATTTCAATAGTCATATGACTTCTAACAAAAAGTCGTTGGTGTTAACATTCGTTTTTATTAGTATATTTTTCTATGAGAACAGACTGTTATAGTTTTTGAACAAATGATACATGATAATATTAATTCAAACTATCATTAATTTATTCGAATTTAGAATGATTTTGTACGTAAACAGCAAGAAACAATCAATGCTGGTGATCTTCTTTTTAATGCATTTCGTACAGCATATGATCAGAAGTACAGACGGAATTATTTCTGTTTCACAGATTAAACATGCCATTTTATCATTTTAGAATGAATGAACATCGCGATTTATTCAATGAAATCAAAACTCGTTTGGATTTCGAACGAGAAGATCGTCGTTTAGTTGAAGCCCAATTGACGTCTAAGTAATTATAAAATAGAAAAGCCGTTTACATCAACTTCCTCCTGTCTATATTTTCCTAAATAGATTAAATGATGTTCAATCAACAGTTAATTCAACTCGTTCAACTCAATCCGAAATTGTTAAAACAATGGAAAATATGCGTCGAGAAAGTATCACTCAAATTGAACAAACACATATTCGATTGAGACAAGAAATGAATGATATGAATAACCAATCGTTGCAACGAACTGCAGATAAATTAGATCGTCTACGAGATGAAATCGACTATAAAATGAAAGAAACTGAAAAGGTATGTAAATCTTTTCTCCTAAGGTTACTTGTCTAGTTAAAATATATGTTATGAAAAAACAAAATATCCTAAAACCTTGCTGTAACAGAATCATCAACTTGAAAATGAACAACGTCAAAGACAGTTACAAACGGTACAAAATGATTTTGAACAGCAGATTGAAACATTGAAATCAGTTATGAATGAAGAAAATGGAAGAATATATAATGAAATTAGGGTATTTTATTGTGTTTTACAAATAATAATAGATTTGATAATACGTTTGATTCTTTTTTTTTGCGATTTAATTATGCACCTGTGTGTATGTGTGAATACTAATGCATTAATCTTATAAAATAGAAATATATCTATATGTGTATTGAACATCGTATTGTTTTGTTTAGGAAACAACAAAGAAAAGTTCCGAATCATTAAGAAAATTAAATGATGGCATTACTTTGATTGAACAACAAACTGATGAAAATCGACGAAAAATTGAAAAAGTTCTAGATGCAGAAATTAAATCACGGTTAGTTCACTTTTTATTATTTCAATTACATTTTCAATGTTCATAAAAATAGATATAGTATTTTTCTAAGAAAACTTCAGTTTTCCTACGATGAGGATACGATAATTTACTCGGATTTAATCAAAGATATTATTTTATTCTTTTGTAGTAAACAACAATACAAAGAATTAGCTGATATAATTACAAAAACAGATGAAAAATCAAACTATCAAATTGCTACAATACAAGCATCGATTGCTACCATCAATACGCGCATAGCAGATCTTCGCGATTTAGTATAATATCAACTCTGAAAGTAGATTAAATAATATAATTTCATGTTTTTAGAGTAATAAACCTGAAATAATTAATTTGAACCGTCGTCTCGATACAATGGAGCATACACATCGTGAAACTGACGGAAATATTCAAGCGTTAACCAATCACTTAGCTGATCTATCATCACGTTATACGGCTACAGATGCACGTGTTCGACAAACAGAAGATAAAATTAAAGTAGATGAACAAACTGTTCGTGATTTAGCAGCTCGTGTCGCTTTATTGCCAACTACTGAAGATATTACTTCTGTTCGACGAGAACTTAGTGAAAAAGTATGCTTTTTATGTTTTCGCTCTAAGCTCTTTGCTTTCTATTTCATCTCTTTTCTTTTTGCTTTGCTTATGTATATTTGTTATCTTTATTTCTATGTATCAGATTCGTAGCGATCTACAAAAAGGTTTACAACAACAAGATGAAAACCTATCGCAAACGCTTGTCAAACATGAACAACGTATTAATAGTATACGTGTAGACTTAAATGTGCTCGAAGAACAAATTAGTCAACGTATGGCTCAGGTAAGTTCGAATAAAAACAACTTTAAGCTGATGGATCGTAACAGCATGGATACTTTTGCATTGAGAGTAAAATCGTTTGAAATATTCGTGGGTTTCTTTTCTTGTTTGCTTTTATTGCCACGTGTGAAATGGTTTATTAGTTTGTTTTTTCTCTATTTATTTACTCGTTTTAAATCGAACGATGAGATTTCTTTTAGAATGAACAACAATTGTCAAATCAAATACGTGATAAACAAGCTGACAATGAGATGTGGCGAAGAGAAGTTGATCAAAAGATGGCTCGTCTGATGAATTTACGAGATACACTACCACAAGAAGTAAATCATAGACAGAAAAAAATAATAACATAGGAATGAACTATGCAAGTTTAGACGGCAAGTTCCTGTCAAATAAAATATCTTTCCGATATCTACGTATAATTCTGATTGAAATTTTTGAGAAAACTAAGACTTATGAAAAGTATGCAAATCTGTTCTTTTTTTCTTTGATTCTAGCTATGTAGTAAAGAAAAATTTGAAGACACTTCCTTTCTAAACTTCTAGTCCGCATTTTAGACTATGGTTTATGTATTTTTAATCAATTAATTTTTGAAATATAGATTTATAGTCTAAATGAAAAACTAACATCGGTACGACAAGAATGTATGAAATTTTCACAAGAAGAAAACTTTCGAACGTAAAGATTGATGCATATTTATATATTTTTTATTATATGATTTTTATTATGTAGGAAAGATGACATAGAACGTTTACGTAAAGACATGGGATATATGCAACGTTCTATAGCTGCTGCACCGATTGCGAAACCATCTCCACGGCGAGACATCGAATATGTATGTATTGATTCATTAAAAATTGATTTCAAATTTCATAGAATATTTCGCTCAATAGAAAATTTTAGAAAGCGAAGTTGAAGAGGTATTTAATTATATTTGTTTTAAATATTTCATGTACTGAAAGCATGTTATAATTCATGTTCACTATTGCTATACATTTCTTCGATCACTCAATGCGATTCGAGAGCATCCGAGAAGTCTTGTGTCCTGTAGATATCTCTATTTGTCGATATCATTATTATGAAAATCGCATTACTGATTACATTTTGCAGCTATAATCTTTTAAGGTGCGATATTTTTTTCGGTATCCGCTGAAAATACATAATACAGTTAATTAATTAAATCGCTCAATCGTATACAATTATCTCTCTTATGTAGAACAATTCAGAGTAGATATGAATATTGATACATGATTTCAAACGTCTAGATAATAGAGAATGACAAAACTATGAAAAATTATTGGAGCACTATGTTTCAAACTACAAATTAAATTTTCTATTTTATTTTTCTTGCATGCAGCTCTTCTCTTTAGTATTCGAAATTCTGCGATAAACCACGTACGAGGGTAGGTCCCTGGGTGTTTCTCTGGGATTTTAACCAAAAGTAAATGGGTGTACCAGGTCAAGTATTGGTATCTCAAATATAAACAAATTAGCGACTGAGAGCAAACGAATAAAAAATTCAGTGAACAAACTTTTTTATAATCCTCAGGAGTACCACAGACGAATTTGTTTGATGACAAAGTACTCGTGGTACCCCTCAGGGTTATAAAAAAGTTTGTTCACTGAATTTTTTGATTCGTTTGCTCTCAGTCGCTAATTTGTTTATATTTGAGATACTAATACTTGACCTGACACATTCATTTACTTTTGGTTAAAATCCCAGAGAAACAACCAGGGACCTTCCCTCGTTAGTATCAATTTCATCGGTTAGGCTCTGAATAGACTGAGTGTGAACAATAAGTAATAGCCTTAAGTTTAGTCATTTTAAAATAAAAATGAATCCAAACAAGTTTTCATAAGAATATGGTACATATCTATCTATATTTCAAGCATTGTTTTCTTGTTCAAATCAGGATGAACAAGCAAAATAGTGCTTAAACGAACAGTAGATAAGGTTATACATGATTTATGTTTTATCGTCATTTTGTATATTTACATTTATCAGTCAGCTGTTTAACTTGATTTTTGTGTATGCATGTATGTAGTTATATTGTGAAGTACGTGCTTTACGTGAAACTTATGATAATATACTTGCTCGTCTGGAATATGCTAATACAAATGCTGATAGCACAGCTTTAGTAGTACCAACAAATCATTCGTCTCAATTATTGTCAGCATATTGGAATAGTCATCATCCAACACAATAAATTTTTTAAAGGTCGACAATTACAACAACAAAATCAATTATAGATGGAATTATTTCAACTAGTAGAGTAGATGTCGATTGCATATCAACCAGTTCTTTTATTTTATGATAGCAACCACTAACTTATCATTTCCCTTCCTATCATGCCCTTGCTAGTTGTTTAATTTTTCTATTTAACATTTAATTCTATTTCGAATGCTGTAAATTCTGCTTTATAGCGTCCACCACCAATACCACCACCACCACCACCAATTCCAAGACCTGCATCAAATACAGAAGTGGATCCTGATGCTCAATTTGAATAGTTAACTTGTTTTTCATCCCTATCCATTAAATACTAGTATATTAACGGTAATTTATACATAAATATTTGTGTGCTAACTTAATATATAGTTGTGTATTAATATTTATGTTTGTATCTCATTTAAATTTATTTATTTTCTCTCTTTTTCTTTCTGTTTAGGTGGATCTTTTTGGGTTTTATTTGATTGGAACACTAATAATAACATATAAATATAACTAATAAACAACGAACTGTAGATATTTTTCACTACTTATACTTTTTTAGTTTTATTTTAATTGGTTTTTGTTTCTATTGTCCGGTGTTTGAGTTACATAATTAAAACAAAATGGAAAATCGCCATGCGATTTCATAACGAATTGTCTTGTATATATTAATATAGATAGTTAATACATAGTACAACGCATGATTTTTTAGATATAAAACAAATATATTAGTATGGTTGTTATATTTTGAATAACCAAGTGGTGCGATGGGCGGGAAAATGAACCGATAGTACTAAAAATTATTTAGGCTATTATATTAAACAATAGAGAATAGTAAAAACGAATAAACAACTATCTAAGATCAATGGTCATAAATGCTCGTTATCGATTGCTGAAGAAGTAATCATTTAATTATTATAGATTATGAAGTGGTACTTGATGTAACAATTCAGAATTTAATCTGATTTTGAAATACTAATCTATGATGATCTAGGAAAACAAAAGTTGAATTCGATTCATTGAATATGAACTCGACATATATGAAAATATTTTTATCTACAAGTCGTCTCTAAAGCATGTTTTTTTTACAAATGGAATAATCTTTAATATCAATTGCCAAGATAATTCTAATTAAATATGTCTTTTTGTTGTTATCATAATCGATTTATAGAAATAAATAAAATTTTTATTAATTCGTGAATCGAACATTGACAGAGAAATTGCGTTCATTTATTCATATGGTCAAATATATTTTTTGCTCTTAAATGAAAAGCTATTTCTTATCTTACCAAATGTAAGTACTAAAGAAATTTCGTCATTGAATTCCGTAGTTATTTAAAATTAATTTTTGAAATTATTCAAACAATTTCCGTACTGTTGAACTAACGAGACGAGATAATATTCGTAACATGTAGTTTAGCACAAATCAACTAAATAAAAACTTTCAATGATATAATGGCGTACTGGTCCAATAGGTCAAATAGACCAACAACGCAAATGCATATCTGCTTTAAATTAAAATTAAAGTGTCATACTTCCCTTCCCGCCTCAGTGAATCCACTAATTGAAATATACTGTAGTCTTCTATGCTTTAGTGAACGGTTTTGGGAAATTTTTAGTTTTTGATACATGAATTTCTGGCAATTTTATAAACTCATGATTTGAATAGGATTTAATCACTAGAGTGTGCTATTTCGAACGAATAAACACATTCGAGCGACATCATTGTTTGCATCGATCTATATTACATTTACATAGATATATCAATCATATAGCGTATCGATACATCCATTCATATTTATTTATCTTTCTTTCTTTCTTTCATTGTTCAATTGAGCTAGTATTGTATTGGTGTATTAAAATTCAATTCAAAACGCAAAAATGAATTCAACGTCTTTCTAAATTTTCTACTCATTATTAAATTTTTTTGTTCAGTTTTTATTTTTTTTAAACGTCTATCTAAAGCTTTAATCATTTTTCATACTGACGATATCATTTCTAGTCTATTCAAAAAACAAAAGTCTCTATCTGATATTTTTCTTCACGAAAATAGCCTGTTAGATTGTCTATTGAGCTTAGAATTATTTTATTTCGGTCTGCATGTAAATATATGTTTTTTTCCTTCACGGCTATTACGAAATATATTCACGCACATATCTTTCGTTTGATTATTTTTTGTATTTTTTCTCCCGTTTTTATAAAGAAATGAAAAATATTCTTGGTCATGCTTTTTTTTCGGTCGTGGTTACACGATGTATCTCAGAGAAGGTTTTTTAACTTCAGCTTTTCTTTTTTTCTCTTTCGTTCGTCTATTCGCTTGACTGAATCGGTCTTGTCGTCAATACGAATACTGATCACTAAAATAAAGAAGTGATATTTTTCTTATTACTTCGCCGTTATCATTCTTGTTGTTTATGAATTTTTCATGGTTATTGTGTATATAACGTTTTTTCCGTTTCTCTTTATTTCAGAACGAGTGCTGGTACAATTGAATAATACAATGAATTCATTCATGAGTACATTATTCGGTTTATCTATATTCTATACAACAATAGTATCAACTGGTTAGTAAAATGTATTTTATTTCGATAAAAAGATATTTTTTTATAATTAATTTATTTTTAGTCTATTGTGTTGATCTTAAGGGTATAACAGTAACAAAAGATGAAATTATTGCATTAACACGTGATCATTTTGGACGCGTTGATCCAGATAATTTACTAAATGGTTTCTTTCCTGTTTGGGCTGTTATTCAATTTTGTCTTTCAGGTACTTTCTTTGAAAGACAAGAAAAATGCACAAAGAAATATTTACATATTTTTATTCTTTTGCATATTTTAGGTTTCTTTCTTGTCATTGCTCTAATTAGTGGACTCTGTTATTTATTTGGTTTCCGAGCACCAGACGACGAGCGTAGCAAGCAAATTAAATAGAATTATACAAAATGACAATTCGGGTCTTTTTTATTTTCTCATTCAATTCCATTTTAACTAGTATTTGTTCAAAAAAAAACTCCAATTTATGTATTAGTGTGATTGATATAAAGGTTCTGTCTTTTTTTCTCTTTCTGTCTTCTCTGTTTAACAATTAATTAATAAAATGATCTGAATTCGTAGAATGTTGTTATCATTACTTTTGGAAATATTGTAACTGAAATTCTCAAGAATCTTCATTTTAATTTCGTCAGATATTGGACAAAGATTTTGAATATCTATGTAAACTTATTTCAAAAATAATGTCAGTTTTCCGAACCATGAATGAATTTTGATTATATATTGATCTGTTGACTTTATAATGTGGTAGATGCAGTGACTGCATATATTATTCACTACTGTTGCTATTTTAAGATTAAAGTAGATTTTCTATTCTAATTCTCTATTTGACTTAGTGTTGATTGTTATTCGTAAAAGTACTTTGTTATGACCGGATTTCCTAGATAATATTTTACTATAGCTAAGTGCAAACGTTTATTCAGCTCTATTTTGTCAATCAACATCCAATTCTTTTGCATATGTGTCGACATTCCAATCCACCTCCGTATAATGCTCTTATCATCATATGTTTCATCTAGCGAATCGACTATATCAACATTCTATTTTGCTACCTCTATGTTTGGTCATCGCCTTATTAGTGTAAATTTAATAAATGTTTCCATTGCATACCACAATACTGAGTAAATTTTGAAGTTTCAGAACATATAAAATAGCACTAACTTATTAGTATAGTGTATTATATTTTGTGTTACATTTACAGACCATACGAGGTTAAGAGTTTATTGATTTAATTTTAGGTACGATTGTGATTAGAAAATCAAAAGTCTCTATTACAATGAAAAATATATAAAAATAGAGTGAATTTTGATTTGTTTCGATTAGTGTTTATTGTTACAAATTTTACACAAAAAAATATATCTATACACATATAAGTGTATATAATAATAATATGAAATCGATTATTTCTCTCGTTGTATATCAATAATCAGTGAAACTAATCGTCTTTGCCGTCTTGTTAATCGTAGAAAGATTTTGCTATATGCTTCACGAAATTTTGGTTGAATAAATGGATAAAGAATTGGATTAATACTTGAGTTGAGCCATAGAAGCCAGAAAGCAGCTGAATATACTTGCCCATCTATATCGATTAGACTTTCTAATGAAAAAATATTTCCAACAACAACTACAAAAACATATGGCAATAAAAATATCATGAATACAAGAACGAATATAAGAAGTGATGTTGCTGTACGTTTATCTCGTCTTAAACGTCGAACATTACGTTGTTCACCAGTAACAGAAATCAACTTTGTATTTTTTCTTGATAAATAATGAGCACTGTTACGCCATGCAAATAATGAACGGCGTTTTTGCCTAGTTGGCTGTAATGGTAAATGAAATGTTTGAGTCGATTTTGATGAACGTTGATCATTTAATGAGGATTCCATTGATATCGATGGAGGTAGAAAAACATGTTTAAAACGTGTATAAATATTTGATGATGACGATGATTGTTTTGCATCTGTTTCGAGTGGTGAACTTGGTAGAATTTGTGGTAACGGTAGAGATTCAATAGTGTCATGTTCAATCATAAGCTCGTCGACTTCTCTAATAGGCAATGGAATATTTCCATGATGATTCTCATTACCCTATGATAGATAGACGAAAACAAATGAAAGCATGTTAGATTCTCAGAGGCATTGATCGGGAAGAAACAAAACAAAGAAATTTTTTATAATAATCATTTGCAAAGTTGAATACTAATATTTCAATAATCAACTTAGAAATAAATTTTTTTTTGTTGAAATTCAGTATTAAAATTCAAAATTAGTTACATGAATGAATAATATTCATTAGTCTGTATAACAAATTATAAAATATTTATAATTATTTTTTCTTCTCTTAATGAAAATATTGGATTAGACTTTGAATAATTTTCTCAATCCAAGATTAGACTTTTCAGCATAACATCTATTTTTACAAAATAGATAAAGAAAAAAATTTCTTATCGCATTCATCTATGATATGACTATGATAAGAAGTAGATTCTTGATTAATACTGTCTCCGTCAATATGATGATCTATGATTTAAAAGTTATTGGGATCTGAAATAAGTACATCTTAGATTTTTTAATTAAAAATAATATTCTAGAATATTTGTTTTTCCTCAATGAAATTTATTCTTCTAATTATCTTTTACTGTTTAATCAAATACGATTTCATATGAATATCTAATGCTATAGATTACCGCTGAATTTGCCTTTTTTAATGCATGATAATTGTTTTCATTAATTATTGATATTGTTTGATCATCAGTTACATTTGTTTGAGGATGGTGCTCGTCAATATTATCTTCTTTAGATTTTCTTAATATATTATTTTTTCGTTGTTCAGAAAAACTATTATAGGATGGAAAGCGTTGTGATCTTCGATAAAGATTAACAACAATTAAAGCATTAAGTATAATAATAACAACTAATGGCCATGCAAAAAAATTTATTTGAGCTACTATTAAATAGATCGTATGCGAATGATAGGCACCAATGCATGCTGAATGATTTTTCTTTGTCGCATTTGTTATTGCAATATCGGCATGTGACTGAAGGAACCAAATGCCAGGCGCAAAATTAACCAATGGAATAAGCCAAATAAGAAGTGAAAATATTCTTATACGAGTTTTCGTTGTGTAACGACGATAATGTACACTATGATTAATACTCCAATAACGTTCTATAGTAATAGCTACGATAGATAAAACACTCGCCATAGTTGCAACATCATCAATCGTTAACCATATTTTGCAAAACAGTTCACCAAATGGCCAAAAACTTTTTATTTGAGCATACCTTTTATTTTGTAAATAAAAAAAAGAATCGTTATTCTTTTCTTTTCTTTTCTTTTCTTTGTATGTGTGTTGTTTAACTTACGAATAAAACGGCATTGCTACAAGACCCACAAGAAGATCAGCAATAGCCATAGATAAAATAAAATTATTTGATGGCGTTAACAAATGTGGATCATTGTAGAAAGCAAAGAGAACAACAAGATTGCCACCGATAGTTAATAAAATAATTAAACATATACCAAAACAGACAGTTACAAGTTGAATCGCTGACCACGATAGGATAGGCATAGTCGTAAAACAAAGTATATGAGAATTATATTCTTGTATGTAAATATAGATATATTTATCTATACTACTTGTTTTGTAAGCTGTCACATCTAAAATGAATGGATGGATGTACAATAAAAGTCCACAACAATAGCCGAGATTCTAATTATTAGTTTTCGAGTGCCACGAAGAAAAAAAAGAAGATTGAAAGAGCGAGAGAACGGGACACAGAAAGAGAAATAAGACATGAAAAAAACGAATATATCCCATTCATCTTCATCGTCTTCGTGCATAACTGTAATTAACGAGTTGGATCAACTTGCGCATGCGATCTTGTTTCAAACTAGAACATAAAAATAAGGATGAGCGATTGGGTAGACGAGAAAGAAACCGACCAACGTACTTTATAGCTATTTTCTTTTGTTTCTATTGATTTTCCAATTTTTTCTCTTTCTCATTCTTACTTACGGCCTCTTGGATTCATATCATTATCATCAAATCGTTTGTTCACTGACTACAATAGCACACACTCTCAGACAGAGATAGACAAGGAAAAGAACAAAGATAGAAGCGATATTTAGCTGAACTTCAAGTTGTATTCAAGGACTCATGGATGGTTACATGTGCTGATAACCATTAGAAAAGTGCTTCTTATTGTGTTTATTTTATAATAAAGTCAAACTTAGTAGTTATTTCAAGTTCCATAAACTAATGAAAAATTATTCTCATTCTATTTAATCTATGAATACTATTTTATAAACAAAAAAAAGTAGTAAATCTGAACTCCTTATGATAGAACAATTTTATTAACAATATTTTTTTCAAAAACAAATCTACAAAATATGACTTTCTTTATTCCATTAAACAAATACCGAGTAAACCAACGTAGAAACTGAAAGTGATTGATTAATTAACAAAAGTAGGTTTCCCTACCATGTTGAGTTCTATTAAAAGTCTTCTCTCTTTTGATTTTAAATTACTTATGATTCATGGATCTCTTTTAGGTTGACTGCAAAATACTAGGTGATGACAGACTTTCTAAAATACGACAGATTGTCATTTTCTGTTTTGGTAACCAATATTTTGATGACACAAAGGATAATGTAGCTTTCTTTCTTTCATTTTTTTCTCTACTTAATAAATAACGAAGGATGCTAAAGAAGTTAGAATACAGCTTTTTTCGTAGACCATATTATCTATAAGATCTTGTCCTGTTCTTTTTGTCGTGCATTTTATTCTTAAGCACTAACTTTTTCTCTTTCATTTATTTTACTTACTTTTCTATGTTACAAAAGATTTTGCTTTTATAAAAATGAATTACATCTATACAGCAGTGGCAGAATTCTCACCTAACAGAATTCAAGAATTCTGCTGTTCAATACAAGCAAAGTTCTAGCAGAATACTTCTACGACAACAAAATTCTGCTAAGAATTCTGTATTCCTTATGATTAATTGACAAGCAAAGTTCTAGTAAAATTCTGCTGTGACTACAGTATTCTTACGTTCTGGTTGTGAGAATTCTGTCACCTTTCATCTGCTGATATGTTTTTCTTAATGATTTGTAAACATTTTGCACATTTTTTTCTTGTCTAAAGAAAAAACGTGATCGGCAGAATTCTTTTCCGCTCTTAATTGTGCCGCTCCATGTAATTTGTGTTTCTAATTTGCTGAAGTAATGTAAAATACATAGAACTATACAATATAAACTCGTGGATGCTATCTCGGCTAGACAAAATCACTATCATTCTTATATCAGTCGATTCGTCTTTTCAAGGGCTACCTAGTTGTATGAAGTGAGCAGAAGGAAACCTAGTTATACGTGATTTGTTTTCTTCACAAGCCATTGGATAAGAGGGACCATCATGCTTGAACCCTTCATTCTACAAAATAACTGCACTTTAGAGTGAAATCAATAGCATATTCTGAATTAGCGGCACAAAGTACATCCGTTCAAATTGATTTGAGAAAAAAAATGTTTTTACCAAAATTTACCTGAGGTCCCCCTCAGTACTTTTCTTGAAACATTTTGCTGTGGTCTCCCTCAGGTAAATTTTTGGTAAAAACATTTCTTTTCTCAAATCAATTTGAACGGATGTACTTTGTGCCGCTGATTCAGAATATGCTATTGATTTCACTCTAAAGTGCAGTTATTTTGTAGAATGAAGGGTTCAAGCATGATGGTCCCTCTTATCCAATGGCTTGTGAAGAAAACAAATCACGTATAACTAGGTTTCCTTCTGCTCACTTCATACAACTAGGTAGCCCTTGAAAAGACGAATCGACTGATATAAGAATGATAGTGATTTTGTCCAGCCGAGATAGCATCCACGAGTTTATATTGTATAGTTCTATGTATTTTACATTACTTCAGCAAATTTGAAACACAAATTACATGGAGCGGCACAATTAAGAGCGGAAAAGAATTCTGCCGATCACGTTTTTTCTTTAGACAAGAAAAAATGTGTAAAATGTTTACAAATCATTAAGAAAAACATATCAGCAGATAGCCCACGTCAAGACGAACCGAATGATATATTTTTTTCTAACATATATTCTATCAGCTTCATAAGAATAAAAAGCTTTGTCTAAAATTTACTACAGTTTTCCATGTAATCGGCAGAATTAGGAATACATGAGAATTGAATAAAATTTGACCCCCTCCCTATTGTCACCCTTCTCTGAAGCGATTCCGTTATTGTTTTCTTAACAACTTTATATCATTCGATAGAAAAATTTTGCTTTATCCCGGAGCGAAAAAAAAAGACTTCTACGATACATATCACTCAAGTTATAAAACAAATACAAAAAGTATTTTTTTACTGGCAGAATTCGGTCACCCGACTCTCTACGTATGCTAATTTAAAATTAGTCATGAAAAAGTGAACCCATGCGAATGAAAATGTTTCGTTTTTTTTTGTTATGCACATTAAGAGTACTCATTGCATCAAATAATCACAGAATATAATTCGAACAAATATTTATTGGATTATTCATTATAAAAAAAAAAACTGAATAAAACGAAAATATAAAAGTAAAACATATTTGATAATTCAAAATGCTGATTAATATTAATGAAAAATGAAAATGCTAATAGAAAACATACAATATTACTTACTAAACATGATAGAACTCGATATATTAGTTTTTCTTTTGAATTGCAACAGTAATATTTTGCAACCTTAAAGTTACATAAATTCGTATTATAGTTATTATTTGAGGATTGAAGTTATTGAATATATCTATGTGGACATAATTCGACATCATCAACCCGCAAAAATAGCACGCAAAACCTCGTTCTTACTTTTACACTAATAGCAATTCTTATAAGATAAGAGGAAAGGCGTCAGTATTACTTTTTTTTCTAACTGTATGAGTTTGCCTCAAGCAATACCCGATCGATGAATACAAACAAAAATATGAAGAGTAGATTATGTTACAATTATACAATGAGAACATCAACATTTAATATGTTTTGTCTCAAAGAAGTGATAAGAAAAAAGTTGGTTCATGATCAGAAATAATATAAAGGTCAACGAGAAAAATTTTTTTTTGACGGAAATAGCAAAAACTGTTAAAGAAAAAACAAGGAGACACAACAACGTTAATACTTCTAAAAAAACGATAATCAATTATATAAATCTTCTTTTGAAGATGAGATTAGTTCAGAAAATGGAAAAATCTATTCATATCTCTTATGCACATGTTCTTATTGACGTTTATTGCGCAAACAAGATGTGCATATAATCATGGGAAAAAAATATAATTTATTGTCAATTCTTAAGTGTCACAATTCGGAATAGTTAAATGTATTATAAAGAAAAAAGTAAGTCCCTAATATGTTGATAAGGAGAAAAAAGACATACACTCAAAAGGAGAGAAAAGATCTTATGCAAATACATGACTTTCAACGCTTATTTCATTTTACATGTAGTCAATGTTCTCTTAGAGAACTTCTCTATGATTTGTATAAAAAGTCAAATAACGTTTGACAAGCATCGATGATCACTTAGTGTCCTATTCGCGGCAACTAGAAAAGACCATAACAATTAATTTGGCATGCATAATTGATGAGTAAAACTACGAGGTTTAGTTTTCAAAATGTATTCAAAGAATAAACTGTTTCAGGAAGAAAAAAAATATAAAATAGTACATTCGACACTCATAAGTAAAAATGTGTCGGATGTGTCGTAAACTACGACACAAAGCACGACACATTCGAGTACGACATGAGGTGCTCGTTGTGACACATTCTGCCCAGCAAGACCACAACGCATTTTTCACAACACATCCGACACATTTTCATTGGTTGTTTCTGAAGCCCATATTTCGATATTGTTTTTTAATTTAACTACATATATTTCTTTATTTTTTGAAAATTCAATTTGATCAGATCCTAAGATCTGGCTGATTTGGAATTGATTCAATTCCTATCAGACTATCCAGTGTAGTTCTTCCCAAATCATGGATCGGGATGGCAATTCTTTGATTATAAAGCAATCAAGAATTGATTTCAAAGAAAATTTTATTGTGAGAACTTATCTTCCATGCGTTCAACGATGTTGCTTATATGTCATTGTATGTTCATAACAAAACGGTGAACGACTAGTCGACTGACAGAACGCGAAAAATATACGACACATTTTTTTGAATTAAAAGCGTGACAAAAATTTACGATACATTTTTGTAATAGAGAGCACAACACAAAAATTCACGGCACATACAGCCAACGCATTTTTATTTAGTGTGAACAAAAGCTGATTAAAATTTGTTAATTATCCTGTAAGCATAGTTTACCGAGAATATTAAATGTGCTTTTACTTTGGACATAATCATTATGAAACAATAAACCGTCTGCTACATACATCCGTAAACCAAGAGAGTACAATAATATACTTTGAAACCATGAAAAAACTAAAATCAACTTCGTATATATTTGTTCTTCTTGTCTGTCATAAATGGCATATTACACTGAGGAAAACTCCTTATTAGATAATTAGAAAAACTACTTGGGGAAAATTGT